TTAAAAAAAAAAAAAAAAAAACGACATGCAGCATTCAGTCCCCAAATCATCTAGTCTCACTATAGGCACACCTACTGATCACTTTACCCCATCATTATTGCCCAGTTATATTCACACTTTGTCAGCCATATCAAGAAACTCACAGATCCAGGCAAGAAATGGCTCCAGTGACGGGACAGTTGCTGTTTAGCACTTTCTCCATTTACGCCCACAAGCACAACAGAGATATTATTAATGGTGCCAGCAACCAGGTCTTCGCCAGTGGCTATTGTCAGGTTGTAGAGCCCCATGGTTTGAGGAGATGGCCTGCCAAGCAGCAGCTCTGCAAGACAAGAATTGTCATCAAGAATCTTACACCATATACACAAGATGACCAGATCTGTGGCTTCTCACTAGACCAGTAGAACAGACAGATCCTGTGTCCAAAAATCACAACTGCTTGAATGTGTTATTTTGCACCAATACTACAAGAAAATACACCGGATTACTTGTGCGAGGCATGCTAGGCAGCATGGGGAAAAGCCCAAAATTTTTGCAGCTCATTAGAATTTGGAAAACTGAAAGTTGTTGATTGCACTAGGTTTCAAGACTGACTGCTCAGTCAATACCACTGGTAAAGGAGTTCTCACCTCTACTATTTCCACAATAGTACAGACATCTCAGCTATTACGCATTCACTTTTGCAATAATCTTGCCATGGGATTCATTATGCAGCCAGAACCACTACACCCCCCATGCTGCAGTTGTAGGTCACGTGGTAAATAAAAGTAAAAGGTTCTGCTGTTAGAATACACATTGTATCTATAGCAATAACTCCTGCAGTATACAATTTCAGTCACTAGATGGCAGTGTTAATAAATTCTGTTATATCTATGGTAGATTATCTGTTGTATTGAATAAAGCTGTGGCTTCCTTTCCGTTTTAGTCAAGCCATGAGAAGCATGCATATTACACTGTGTGCTTGTGTTACTCTGAGGATGTGCAAGAAGTTCCAACATCTGCCCATAAACCAAGCTCTTGACAATGGAATCCTCTTCACTCATCTCAAGTTAGTCTGTCATCCGTCTGTTAATTAGCCCTGTATAGCTCTAACATTTGGTAGTACATAATTGTTAAACAGAACGCAGATAACTATAGTAATGGTTGCATTGGATGGTGCAATGGGTAACGGTGTTCTAAAATGTTTAACTGGAGTCTGGCTGCCATGGCTATTGCTCTTTACAGATGCATTAACATAATGTATCGGAGTAGAAATGCCAATACAGTCATAGGTCACTTGAAACCCCTTAATAGCCCATCATCTGACTTCACACATCACCTCCCAGTGTCTTAGTGGAATGGGTGAGGTCAGATATTTCACTAGCAACCATGTTTATGTAGCCCGTGTGTCCATCACAGCAGCAACTCAGAACATACTAAAAAGGTGTTACACAAGGAACCATAAACTAAATACAGGGGCATCCTTATCAAGCCTATCCAGTATGAAAAAAGATTCAGATTCCAGCTGAAAGGACTTCTTTAGGATCACTTCTTACAGGTAGCAGCTGTGCACTTAAAGCTGAATTTAACCCACCAATTAAAAGGAGAACTATGAGGCGAGTGCTTTTCACTCACCTCATAGTTCTAGCCGACCTGTGACAATGAGACTGTCACAGGTCGGCTTAGTAGATCGGGAGGTGAGCGAACACATACCGGCATTCGCTCACCTCTCGATCCTGTCACGGCTCTCTGCCGTGACAGGGGAGGGGCTGGATTCCCCCCTCCCTGCTCGGCCAGCGCTGACTGGCGGAACGGACGGTCGAGGGGGTGGGTACAGCTGGCTCTGTCTCTAGATAGGCAGAGCCAGCTGTCACGCAGCTGGGCGGATCCAGACATAATTGTCATGATCCGCTTCTGCGTCTCAGTATACCGCGACCAGCAGCTCGCGGTATACTGCGGGGTCTCAGTATACCGAGCCTAGGGTGACGGGAGGACGCTAGTTTGTGTCCTTCCATTACCCTAAGGAGAACTATGGGGAAAAGCCTTAAACCCATAGTTCTCCTTTAACAGTTTCCCCAGAATAAAGCTCAAGTTAGAAACCGTCTACAAGTTATTAATTCACAGGATATGCGCTATTCAAGGAATGGCTCCGGTGATAAAGCCCTCAAATGGCTGGTGTCAAAGCTGGTCAGATGTTCAGCACCATGACAACAGCAGATCTAAACAGAGGCACCATGCTCGTAGTATAGAACGGGGTTAGTTACACTTTAAGGGAATGAAAAAAAAAAAAAAAAAAAAAAAAAAACAATGAGCTTAGTGAATTTGAGTATTTCAGGGTTCCTCTACCATTCAGTTTCAGGACACAGAAACCAAGACACACTCCAGAAGCATATTTAGTCTGTTCAGCATGTGGAAAGACAAGTTGGGTATTACTTTGACCTGTACACACACACACGTAAGGGTTAGTTCACACCAGAAACTGCATCACAACTGCGTGCGTCTGTACAGTTGCATTGCGATCCCATTTTTTCCCTCTGCATGTCCCTGGATGATGCCACAATGAATTCTGTTTTTTGTATGCGTTCAGTTTTAATGCTTTTGCACTGCATTTTGATGCATTTAGTGCAGTTAGATGCAGGTAAAATAGGACAAGCAGTACTTTTTCTGACTGCATCTGAACGGACTGCAATGGTGTGAATTAGGCACAAGAAAGCCCATAGGAAAGCATTAGGATGTATTTTGACTGCAGCAGTTAAAATAAACGGACTGCATATGGTGTGAACAGGCCCTTAAGGTGGCCATACACCTTACAATTATCGGACGAAACTTTTTGTCCAATGATCGAACCGTCGTACGGCAGCCCCATCATGCCCCGATTATCGCAAGGTTCAATTAAAGAAAAGCACCTGGATGAATTGTGGTAATCGACCGCTTGTATTCTCGTTTGCGCATTAGCAGTGTAGATCGTACGATTTTTGACGTACAGAAACGCCACCTTGCAAAAATCGTACGATCAAAGTTTTCAAACATGCTTGAAAGTCAAAAGTCGTACACCGCCCATACACCTGGCGATTATTGGACGAAAACGCGATCGCATACGATTATCGTAAGGTGTATGGGCACTTTTAGTGTGGAGATAAGTGGTAATTACAGACTTAATCCCTACCAATTCATCACCTGAATAAAGTTTAGGCTCATTCCCTAAACATGTGCAGGTCCTTATAGTCTTCTTTCTAGCCTCCCAAAAAAAGATATTTGAAAAGGATAATTGGCTGCCAATCAAAAACAGTCGATCAAAAGCTTCTCTAAAGCCAAAGTCTTGTGTATACTGAATAGGGGATGCTTACAACCCCTGATATCATTAACTGTCCATGTGTCACTGATGAGATTTCACTTCCTATCTTGAGACAAGTGATGGTAAATCTCTCAGTTATCACTGGAATAAACGTGACCCCATTGTATGATGTACCCTCTATTCCAGTAACAGTGATAGACAAGTCACGAGGATACTACTCCCTAGCAGGAACACAAGCTATAAGACTGAGGGGTTCAAACCCTCCCCTGCATCACCCATAAATAAACATTGTCTTCCATTATAAAAATGATTTATAGAACATACAGAACCCAAATAGTGCAGCAGGAAAGAGTGCAGCATTGCAGAGTACATCCAGAGGTGTCAATGGATATAGGATGAAGCTATGACTGATGGGTGACCTCTTTCTGGTTACCTTGTAAAGAGCACTGCAGACAGAATTCAATGCATTACTATCAATTATTGCTACATGCTCACACAGGACATCTTAAAGATATATTGGACATGTAAACAGGACACTGGGTTTGCATGCTGGAGCAAGAAGCATACACATTGTACACTACAGTTTAAGTGGTAGTCTTGGTTTCATTGGCTAGGTCAATCAACTCTTTACTGCTGCATATAACAGTGGTAATTCCACTTGAAGGTAGTCATAGAGAAAAATGGTCAGTGCATAGTTATATTACCATCCAGCTAAAGGCCCAGAGTTCCTCTACCACAGCGCAAGCCTAAGCTACTCACCTAACAGCAGACTAGAGAACACTGTGTATACGGAGACTCAAAGAACATATATATAGGGTGTGCCAGAGGGGTGTGACCACCTGAAATTCCTTAGAAAACCCTAATCCTAGGACCACATGGGTAATTCATTTCTATTTGCTACTGAGAGATGTAACCAGGTTTTGGTGATCATCTCATTTACAGCAGGCTGAAATCAATGTGATGCTGCCTAGGTCACTTTCAACCACTAGTTTAAGGCTGGGCACACCCCTTACAACCATCGCAAGACTTTTGTCTTGCGATGGTTATAAGGTACTTAAAAAAACGTACGATCTGCCTATCTTGCATAGGCAGATCGTACTTGCGATGATCGCAAGCCGCATCCCCCTGAGGGGCGGGCTTCCGATGACCGCAATGCCGAACGGGCAGTGTGCGCTTGCGCACACCGGATCGTCCGGCTTTTATGTTACGAACATGCTACATCGTACGATGCTCGGCGGGTTTTTGAACATGTTCGTAAGTTTAAAGTCGTGCGACCTTACAGTAGTAGACCTGCACCCTAAATTTCTTGGGGGGGTTCAAATAAAGGACTAGATAAGTTGTTAGGCTTGCTCAGTGTTGGGGGTTTAGTTTACCCATTAAAGGTTTCAAGGGGTTAAGTGTTACAGGAAAGTTATGATTATTTAAGGGCTCATTTACACATGTGTCATCCTCTGCAGGGTGTTAACATGTGTTGGGTTAAGGCTGGCCAATTATTACAATTGGGCAGCTAACGCACTGAGGGCTGCAGCTAAAGGTGGCCATACATGATGGTCAATGAGGGCTCCGGGCGGTCAGTGCGGACTTTGGTCGTACAGTACTGGCTTTGGGCAGTCAGTGCGGACTTTGGTCAGTCAGTAGTGGCTCTAGGCGGTCAGTAGGGGCTCTGCGTGGTCAGTGCAGGATCCGTGTAGTCAGTGCCGGCTCCGGGCGGTCAGTGTGTGCTCAGAGTGGTCAGTGCGGGCTCCGGGTGGTCAGTGCGGTCTCTGGGTGGTCAGTGCGGTGGTCAGTGTGCGCTTTGGGTGGTCAGTGCAGAGGTCAGTGCAAACTCTGGGTGGTCAGTACGGTCGTCAGTGCGGGCTTTGGGTCCTCAGTCCGGGCTCCGGTGGTCAGTGCGGGCTCCAGGTGGTCAGTGTGATGGTCAGTGTGGGCTTTGGGTGGCCAGTGTGGTCGTCAGTGCTGGCTTTGGGTGGTCAGTACGGGCTCTGCATGGTCAGGGCAGTGGTCAGTGCGGGCTTT